GTAGCTGAAGCCTTGGCTTCAGCTGGAGCACTCGTAAGGAGGTGCCCCTGTGGATTCTCTGTTGGCCAATATAAGGTTGCGCTCAGCCTGCAGTCTTCCAGAGGGAGCTGCAAATGGGATATCTTTCCTCTGTCCAGCTGGCTGTTTTCAGGAGACTTGTATGAAAACCTTTGAGACCTGTTTCCCTCTGTCAGATTTGGCTGAAATTGTCAAGGTCGTGAGGCAGAGGGTCTGTCTGCTTGTGCGATATGTGCCATGGCACAGTGGTGGGTGTTGGGACGTGGATCTGCACGGATCCCCTGGGAAGGCTATGCATGCCCAGACACAGCTCTGTAATGTAGTTTTTGTGTCTGTATGCAACAGGGATAATTATTCGGTGGATGGAGTTAGCAGCCTCTGGCATGGGTGATCCTGGGGCAGGAGATGTGTGAGATCCAGCTGGAGCCACAGGCAAATGGGAGGCAGGCACCAGCCAGATGAGACTGCAGATCCACTGGGTCTCATCCCTTTTAGACAGACCTTGCTGACAGGGATTATTTATTTATCCCAAAATTTGTTGGGAAGGAAAAAAAAGGAAGAAGAGTTTATTGCAAACATATACACAGGAAGAATAAATGGAGGGGAACAGCCCAGCCTCTGGCACTGTTGCAAGTATGTAAGACCTGCTTTTATTCCTCTCTTACCCTCTTGCATCTTGCCAGGCTTCCCACAGCTCTGTCATCTGATCCAGGGGAGGTAAAGGGAGAACCTGGTCCATCAAATTTACGGGGTTTGGACGCAATTTGTTCAAGGAACTGTAAAACCCAGAGAAGTTGCCCCTATAAATTATTTACCGGGGGGGGGGGCAGTAAAAGCTCAAGGAAATTTCTGGGATTCCTTGCAAAACCCTGAAGTTTATGGGGTTGTTTCCCTGCCCGCACCAGGTTTCTCTAAAGCTCTCTGTAGCGGTTTAGGAGGTCTTTGACAGGGACTGATGGCAGCCAGTGTCTGCAAAGATCAGCGAAGAATTGCTGGATTTAAGTTTTCTAATATGTAATGTATATAATGAGCATCGTGGTGGCACCTAAGTGAGCTGGTGGCTCTAAGTGGACTGAGCTGTCCTGAGTTGGACAACGACGGTAGAGCAAATGGCAGTCCTCCATCAGCCTTGTTACCCAAAATGTCATAGCATGGAAGATGAAGCACATGGAAGGAGCAAACCCAGGTGTGGTTTTGGCCTGCTGGTGGGCTGTGGATGGAGGGAGGTGTTGGAGTGAATGTCTGGAAGCTGCAGAGCAGCTCTTCACCCTCATATAAATGGCCTGCACTGCCTTTTCTCACCTAGGGCGGGTATTTCATAACCCGGTGAACTCTTAAATGCAGTGGGATTTTGGAAGTAATCAGAAAGGGGAGAAACAAAAGAGAAAACAACTCATTTTCCTTTCAAAGTCAGAGAATAACGGCCTTGAATTGGGGATCATCTGTAATCTGGATGTGGCGCAGTCATCCATCAAGGACCCATGCTGGCAATGCAGCAGTAGGAGCTGGGTGGGTTTTCACCCCACGTGAGCATCTGCAGCTCACTGCTAGAAGGCAGAGCATAGCTTTAACTAAAATTCTAAAAATATATGTAATAAAAATTAGAAATATTCAAGAGGTTCAAAAGTTTAACACATAAATGTTCAACATGTATGCACACATGCATATATGAATTAATGTCTGCCAGGAAATGTCTTCAGTTTGTGGCACCCAGATTATGAAACCCTTTTGCATCCTTTTCCTCACCTTTGCAATGTAAATTCAAGGTGTGACTGTTCTGAGCTCGAGCCTTTCTATGCCCACAGGGTCTTTGCTTTTGCAGATGTTAACATTTACTCACTGGAGGCCCGGGGCTCACCATGCTTTTTCTTTGCCTCTGCAGAGTCTTCTAGGATTTATTCCTTATACGACTATTTTTCTATTGCTATGTTAATGTGCATTTTTTACTGTATTTGTTCTGTGCTGAAGCATTAAACAATATCAGAGCTGGAAAAAAAGAAGAATCACATGTCAAATATTTATCTGCAAAAAACATGCTTTGGCTTAGCTGCCTGAAGTAACTGCAGAAACTTAGACTTACTTTCTGTTGCTTAAGCCTTTTTTTATTTCATGCATATGTGTGAACTTGGGCAACAAATGCTGAAGATTCAGAGGTGCTTTTTCTCCTGTTCTTTGTCTTTTGCTGGTCCCATATCGCCCTCAAGGCATCACCACGGCAGTACGTACTCCTGCCCCGTGGGTCGGCACTCTGGCCAGTGGTGCAAGGAAGCCAATGCTCTGCAGTAGATCTGCTGTAGGATGACGTTGGCACATGCCTTGTCATGGAGGGACTTGCTAATTCTCCTTTTAGAATAAACAAGTATTTTCTTGGAATTACAAAGAGATCTCTGTTAGCATTTAAGCTGTTTCTGAATGATTTTTTTTCCACGCGTTTTGGGGTCAGTCTATCCCAAGGGTCCAAGCAGCAAGAAAATTTCATCCTTGATTTAGGGCAGGAATGGAGAGGATGAGGTGGGAGAGGAGAAAATGTCGCATTTTGAGAGGCAGGAGGTATGATTTAGCTTGAGTCCAACATCAAGCCTCATGGTGATGGCAGAAGGTACTTACAAACCTACTCTGAAGGCAGTGAGTTTGGAGCACGTAAATTTACTGACTATCTTCTCTTAATTAGATGGGATGTATTAGTGACGGTGCTAATGGCAATGAGGTCCATGAGCACTGTTGGCCTCCAGGGATGGTGTGTGTGCTTGAGGACCTTGACGCCAGGCAGGACCCCATGGGGTGACACGTGGCAGTGGACGTGCTAACACATGCAGGTTCCTCTGCCTCGGGTACAGCACCAGGAACCCATGAGGCACTTAGGAAAATCAGCATTTTGGAGGATCTTCTGTCTCAACGTGGCAGCTGGTATTTTTGGGACAGGACTGGGTGAGTTGGTCCCAGTGCCATTTGCAGGAACTGGGGAGCCTTCCCTGTACAGACCAGTAAGACCGTTAGGGCAGGCTTCAGTGCCAGCTGTTGTGATGAACATGGACTCTCGAAGGATCTACATTAGCTATCTCAGTACATATTATATTGCATTTCTCATGTTATTTTAGATATGGAAATTCTCAGAACAGTGCATTTTATTTACAAGCTTAATTATCCTTCACTTGGATTGTATTTTGGGCAGGAGGAAGTGTAGAGGTGTGAATGATGGGAGGAAGAGGGGAAGAGAGGATGGAAGGAGGCACTTTTTGAAAAACATTGAAATAAGGGTCTCTGCAGGAACATTTCTGGAGGGACATATGTTTTTAATAATATTAACACCGAGCTCAGAAACCCAGTCAAAGGTTTTGCTGCCTTCCTGCTCCATGAAGGGTGAGTTATAGTCCAGGACAGAATCTGCCTCAGAGCTGAGGATTAAATGAGAAGGGAAAAGGGGATGCTGCCAGGTTGGCATTGCAAGAAGGGTGCTGGGATCTGAGGGGCGATGGGGTGATCTTGCCAAAACTCATAACACAACTCTTGAAAAGAGGTGGGGGTAAAACCTAGTTTTCTTGCGTCTGAGCTCTGCACTTCTCCATGACTTGATTTTCTAGAAGCTTGTTTACTCCTGCTGTTAAAAAAGCCTACATTTGCTTGCTTTGGTTTTTTTGGTTTGTTTTTTTGTGTGTTTGTGTGTGTGGTTTTGCTTTGAAGCCATCTTCACAGCAACTAATGGCAGCACCGCACAGAGGTTTTGACAGGAGTTACAAAGGAAGGACACAGCACAGGTTAACTGCTGCACAGCAGAGATCTTGATTACATCCAGGTAAACCCAGCAATTAGAAGAGAGAGGGAAAGTAAGAAGCAGAAAGCACATTAGGGGGACTTAAGTCCTGAGGGTCTCAGAGATGGGTGTAGCTACATGATGGGCAAGGTGACCACAGCCCTGGTGCCCCTGCAGTCTAGGCACACACCAGGCTGCTCCAGGCACTTGACCTTCATCTTGCTTGTTTGGGAATTCATTTAGGTGGAGTGATTCCAGGCTGTGCACAGGAACCCAAAAGGGTCCCGATCTATAACGCAATGTGATTTTGAGGTTGCATCTTGTTAACTGGAAGGAACAATCCAGCCCTGGCAAAGAGCTAGGCTGGATGAAGTCATCGAGCTCGTCTTTTCGCCACGTCTCTAGTTTCAACCCTGGAAGTAGTCCATGTCTCCCTGTGAAATCTGCTCAGCCCGAGACAAGCAGGTGAGGCTTAGAACAGGAGAAAAACTTTTTATTGCCCATTAAAAAAGAATAAAACGCCTTCTGGCAACTCCACTTGTGCTGCAATTATTGCTTCGTAGAGAGAAGTCCCTGCTTCGCAGAGGGAGACTTCTGTAGCAATTTTGGGGAGTCACTAAACCGTCCATAGGCAGTAACCAGAGCTTTCAGCCCACAATGGTGGGCTGGATTGGCAAGGGCAAGGCAGGTAATCCTGGATTTAGGAACCTGAAGGTTAGTCACAAAACAGGCTAATAAAGACTTGAGTGCAGGTGATTGCTGTCTGCAGTGATCTTCTAGTGATCTTTCCTCCCTGCGTAATTGAGGTAGCAGATGCTTCCCTCTTTTATCACACCACTAATATTCACATTTAAGCTTAATTGCCTAAGGTTGTTGTTGCCTGAAGAAGGGTCCTGTTAGGGAAAGGTGCTGCGGGAGCAAAGCTGAGCTCTCCCCTGCAGCCAGCATCAGCAAAGGGATGAAGGAATTAGGGGATTTATGGACTTTAATGCCAATTGCCTAAGCCAAGATGAGCCTTTGTAGCTGGAGAAAAGCTTCCCTTGCCACTGTAGGCAGTGGGAGCATCATACTCAGATGGCATGCATTAAAGCCTCTTTTCTCTTGCAGATGAATGACTCTCCAGGCTGTGTGCTGACTCCAGGAACCAAGAAGGAGCTTCTGCCCCAGGAAAAGGAAAATGTTTTATGCCCAGATCCTTGCCCTGGCAGCGGCTGTGGTGCAGTACGGAGCCATGGCCATTCATGAAGGTATGTGACAAGTGGGCTACCATGAATGAAGCAGTTGGGGGTGATGCTGAAACACGTTAGGGAGAAAAAGACCTTTTCCAAGCAGCTGTTTCTGCTAATGTCATCAGTATACACACAGATGCTGTCAGGGTGGAGCTGTAGTGCTGATGCCTTTAACTTCTGCATAGGGTCCTTTTAGGTGGGGATCATCTGGCTAACAGATCATCTCAGCTGGCCCCAAATGGCAGGCAGGACCTGACTTGCTGCACTAGGGTTTATGGGGAAATCAGGGCTCTGCTCAGTGTCTTGCCTCTGATACTGTTCCACCTCAGCTGCTGCAGAGGAAGGTGGGGAGAAGGGTAAAACATGTCCCTTCTTCTGATCTCCAAAACCTGGTACAAGCCACCACACAGAGAATGTGAGAGAAAAGACCTCAAGGAAGCCTTGAAGCCTCCTGCTACTGTTTAGAGAGTCGAGATGGCACAAGGGCTCACCTCCTTCCTGGCTCCCTATTGCCTGTGCAAGCCCACAGGGAGCTTTTGGGAAGGAGGGGCCGGAGACAAAAGGACCCCAGAGAAGAGCCTCATGGAGTTACAGCACGTCTCTAGCCTCAGGGTCCTGCAGGAGGGGGAGGCTCCTTGTGAGTATCCTACAGAGCTAATCCAGACTTCCCAGGACTGTCATGGGGCTGGGTATGAGCCAGTGGGTCCTCCCCCTTCAAATTGTTCTGCAGCAACAAGCCCCCAGGCTTTGAAGGTGTAAATTCACCTGGACTTAATTCAGTAAATTCAACAAGGAGTTAATGGAAGCTTTGGCATCAGCTACAAAATTAACTTGATTAAGTTCCTGTCCGTCAATTAAGCCAATATACTTCACTATAATGCTATTTAATTCAAAGCTGGGAACAGTGCAATAAATCAACGTTTACAGATGTCTCTGGCAAACTTGTGATTGATGAAATGTGGTAATTTTGGAGGTGCATGGAAAATTTCAAATAAAATCATATCCCCCTGTGATTAATATAGCTGTCTGTGTTGGTATTTTCTCCAGGAGGTACCAATCCAAATATGCTTAACATCACATGTTTCCAATGACAGCTTCAGGTACCTGATCCAAGCAGCAAACACTCTCGGGTTTCATTGCTAAGCTGGGCCCCTCTGGAAGGGTGCTGAGCTCCTGGCTCAGCATCTCACAGAATGGGCTCTGGTTGCCCCTTTATAGAGAAAGGGGAACCATCCTGCCCTTTTTAATCCCATGAACCTCTTGCTTGTTGTCTTTCTCCTCGTTATCCCTGGATACAAATGAGAGCAGGAGCATTGTGCAGGGTGAGCAAGACTCCCAAGGGCCAGACATGGATGGAGGAGGCTTTCTGGGGATTTGGGATGCAGAGAGGTAGGTAGCAAAGGTCCCTCTGATACTGAATAGCATTTTGAGCATGTTTTCCAGATCAGGGCCAAAAATGCAGGTCTCTTAGGAAAAGCTGTCTGCACTGCCTTGAGTAGCTCCAAGAGCTGGGTGATTTTGGGAAGGCTGGTGGATGGTCTTCTCCATCTTGTTGAACATTTGTTGGGTTTTTCTTGTGGTAATACAGGTTGTGGTTACCCTGGGAAGCTGTTGAATGATTTCCACAAGTTCTGAGGTCGGAGCCAAGGACTGGCATTGCCTTCCCTCCAAGTCCTTCTGGGGGAACAGGGACATCAAGGTCAAAGCTAGGGAAAAGGGGTAGATCCAAAATAGAAGCAGCAGCTGGGAAAAGAGCTTATGGTGAGCTACTGTTAGTAGCTGAGCTGCCTCCAAGACACCCCTGACATCTCAGCTGAAAAGCACTTAGAGAGGATTGAGAAGGGAAGGGAGATATCGAGAGCTCTAGGAAGGAAAATTGAAATAATTTTCTCCAATTTTTATCAAGGAAAAGTGCTTTATATTCCCAGCTGGGTACAAGTTAAACCAAAAAGAGGCAGTCATTTTCCTGCAGTAAACAGAACTGTGAAGTCGTGAAGAGCTCAGTGTCAGGAGGCACAAAGAAGAATGAAGAAACCAAAAGCCTTGGGAAACAAAGACCCTTGGACTACCATCCATCCGCAGCCAGCAAATGATCCTCTGTCCTGCTGTGTGGCCAAGGGGGATTGATCAGGGACACAGCAATGAAAGAGAGCATGAAACCTGTGTCTTTCCAAGCCCTTTGGGGAGCCTGCTTATAGAAATGGGGTAAAAGTGAGGTAAATTGAAGAGATCAAGCTAAAACAGGGTTTCCATTGCAGTAGAAGTATGAGAAACCTGCCTAGCGCATCTCCCCAGCAAAGTGGAACAATTGCTGCAGCCTGGTTGGGTGCGAGTTGATTTCCAGACCTGCAGCTGAAAGTCAAGGCTGGGTGAAATCCAAAGCAGTAGTGACACAAAATGAAAAAAAAAAAAAAAAAAAAATGTGAAGAGGTTGAGCCCAGTCCTGGTGGGCAAATCTGCAATACAAAAAGCCCTCCTTCATCAGTCAGCGTGGTCTACTTTTTAGCAGCCCCACAGTAATAACTCAGCATCTATCTGCAAGGGAGAGAAACACCAAAGAAAATACAAATGTTGAACTTCCCTTGTGGAGCCTCCGTTAATTTAAGCATCTCTAAAAGTCATCAGATTTCTGTCCATGAAATATATTTATTGGATGCGTAAAGAAAATTAAATTCAATTGAAACTGAACACTGTAAAGGGAAATATGCCTTGATGTTCATTAAATGAATTTCCCTGTACACCTATCCCTTCCCTGCCACCTGTCATCAGGTAGCTCTGGCTTGTACAGAAAAAAACACTCAAATTGTTCATTCTTTGCACAAGATATTTTTCATGCTTGGGGCCACTGGCAGCTTGGCAAGAGGGGAGCATTGCAGAGCTGAATGCACAGAGCGTCCTGAGCTCTCTCTGTGCAAGACTGGAAGACGTGGTTGTTTTAGGGCTGGCAAAGCATGGATGGCCAGGTGGCCCCATGTCTGCATGGGTGTCTCACATTGGCTGTGGAGACCCTGATGTAAGAAGCCCAGGATGGCTGGTGGGGTGGCAGAGCTGCCACATACCAAAAATTCGGTTGTGCGTGGCTCAGGTGTCGATGTCTGCCTCTGGGCATATGAAACCCCCAGGCATCCCCTTGCTTCCATCATGTCCTACAGACCTGCATGCCTTGATGGAGCTGGGTGTCAGTGTTTGTGCTTCAAATGAGAAACTTGCCCCAGGTGAAAACAGAAAAATGGGGAATTAGGAGGAAATTAAAGAGAACAAAGCAGCCTATTGCTCTGGGAAGCCCATGATTACCCACTTCTTTGGGCCTAAGCATGGTCTCTCTTCCTTAGCTGCAATATCTCGGGGGTTCACATGACTCAGAGGGGGTTATCTCCTGGCTGGCTCATTGCATGATGTGGGATGAGCCTTCCTGCCCCTCTTCTCCCTCAGCATGCAGGACGGCGGAGGTGGCTGACATTTTGTTCCTCGTGGGGCAGTCACAGGGCGCAGGGAGGGAGAGCTCCCGGCTGGTCAAGGACTTCATCAGCAGCATGGCGCGTTCCTTTGAGAACGTGGTGATGGGCAAAGGAGGCGTCCGGCTGGCGGTGGCACTCTACGGGGAGAAACCAAGGTGGGTCAGTCCATGCTCTACCACCAGCACCTGGGTTTCTATAGCCCCATAGCTCTAGATGGGCAACCATGTCCCCATGGTTAACGAGCTCTT